ACATGCAGCTATGACAACCAACAATTGGGCACATCCCTGTCCACTTGTGGTTGGCTAGATGGCCACAGCTAATCATGACTAGATTGGGGTTTGATTGATCCCGATGGGGAGCTCTCTTGCTCTTGCTCTCTCTTAGCTCACTATCTCCTTGTCAGTGTCTGTTTATGCACCTGGAAATGCTGTCTCTTGGGAGACAAAGAACTGCTTTGTGAATTGGACCACATGGTTGGGCAAAGATGGAATTTTCCTTCAAAATCCCTTGGACAGTTTGGATGTTCCTGAACTTGGTAAATATGTATCTTTTGCTGTGTAGTTAAGGCAAATCGCCTTAGGCTTGTTATTTTGGTAATCTCTGATAGTCTGTGTTATGCTCTGTACTGAATAAAAATTATTCTTATTTCTAAATGGTCTCTGATGATGTACCTGAGTTCCAAGTCTAAATCTTGTGCCTTCTGCTCACCATATAAGCTACCTTTGTAAAATTAAGTGTGCATCTCTGGCAATGAGTTGCTAATGTGTTAAGTTCCAGATGCCAACTGAGAGTTTGAACCTACAAGTCCAAGGCCACCACCCCGGGACTCAGGGAGGCAAGGGAACTATTCGCCCTGCTCCTCCCCCCCCCCCGTCGGGAGCGTCTCAGCTGCCACCAGGAACAGCGACGGCGGCCATAACTTTTTAAAGAGCCCCTCCTGAGAGCTGGGGGAGCCAGAATGACATCACACGTGAGAGGTGGAATTTGCCCCTACGAGTCCAAGGCCACCACCCCGGGGCTCAGGGAGGCAAGTGAATGTTTTGCCCCGCCCCTCCCCCACGCACGGGCATCGCAGCTGCCACCGAGAACAGCGATGGCAGCCATAACTTTTTAAAGAGCCCCTCCTGAGAGCTGGGGGAGCCAGAATGACCTCTCGCATGTGATGTCCGAGCAGCATCACACGCAAGAGGTGGAATTTGCCCCTACGAGTCCAAGGCCACCACCCTGGGGCTCAGGGAGGCAAGGGAACGTTTCGCCCCGCCCCTCCCCCCACGTGCAGGCTGCAGGCGTCGCAGCTGCTGCCATAACTTTTTAAGGAGCCGGGAAGGAGAGCTGGGGGAGCCAGAATGACCTCTGGCGCCAGAGGTGGAATTTGCCCCTACGAGTCAAAGGCCACCACCCCGTGGCTCAGGGAGGTGGGGGAACGTTTCGGCCCCCCCACCATGTCCCAACTGATGGCTGGTGGGAGCAGGGGGTGGGGCTTATGTGCCCGCCCCCTGGGCTCCTGACTGGCAGAGCAGTACTCTGGTGCGCTCCGGCAGGAACCGAGGCCTGCACCTATGTGATGATGTCACTTATGAGCTGTGCAGGAAGTCATGTCATTGCATCACTAGCAATTTTTCCTCACCAACCCACTGAACCACAGCGGGGAAAGAGGGCTGCCAACAAGAAGTCTCCCACCTGGCAGCTCTACTGCTCCCACACCACAGTCCCAATATAAACTGGACCCGTGGTGCTTCAGAAATGAGTTATGTGTTACATGTAACATGTAGTTTGGGCTTAAGACAGCAGTCCCCAACCTTTGTGACCTTTGGAATTGACACAGGCTGGTGGGCACAGCACAGCTATAAAAGGGCTGCTGCAGGAGGCAGAACCAATCAAAAAATGGCTGCCAACCACAAAATGAC